GGGAGGCAAGAAGCAAGCTTTCAGGGACAAAGGGCCTGCCTTGAGTCAAGCTCACTCACATGTCATTCATTTAAGGTCTATGAATATAGGGTCACCAGATCAATACAAAAAACAAAAGTGATATTTGAGAAAGTAAATCTCGCCTACACTGTGACTGGGCATTCTGTAACTAAGTACTGTTGATAAATAGGTAATAAGTTCTCCAGTTTACTGCTTAAGGACAAAGTACTAAAATACAAACTGAAAAAGCCATCTGATCTCCCTGTCCTGCAGACATTCACCTTACTCCTTGTCATGACAAGATAAATTTTATCAGTCTAGTTACATAAGCCAGCTCCTTTTTTAAGTGACTGGGACCTGCTGGTGTGCCAGGGGGCTGGCCAATGTCTGCAAGGCCGCTCTGGTTCCCTCTGAACGGTCATGGCGAGCAGGGGAGGTTTCTGAGGAATTTCTTTGCTTTTCTGGCAAAATGGAAGGAAAAACTAGGGAACTACAAGCTGGTCAGCCTCACCTTGGCCTATGGGAAACTGATGGAATAATCTTCTGAGAAGCCATCTCCAGACATGTTACAGATAAGAAGGTGACTGGGAGCAGTCAGAATGTGTTTGCAAAAAAGAAATCATGCCTGACAAACATGATAGCCTTCTACAATAAGATGACCAGCTTGGGGAAAGATGGGAAAGCAGTGAATGTTGTTTACCTTGACTTCAGCAAGGCTTTCAACCCTGTCTCCCATAACATCCTCACTGACAACCTGAAGAAATATGGACTAGAAAATTGGACAGTGAGGTGAATCATGGGTTGTGATCAGCAGCACGAAGTCCAGCTGCGCTATACCCCAGGGGCAGATACTGGGGGCAATACTATTTAATGCCTTCATTAATGACCTCAGTGCTGGGACAGAGTGCACCCTCAGCAAGTACATAGATGATACAAAACTGGCAAGACTGGTTTAATGCACCACAAAGTTGTGCTGCTCTTCAGAGGGAGCTGGACAGGCTGGAGGATTGGGCAGAGGGGAATCTTATTAAATTTAACAAAACAAAATTGTTGTATTCCTCCCCTGCACGTGGGGAGGAATAACTCCAGGCACGAGGACATCCTGGGGGCTGACCAGGTGGAAAAAACCTTCTAGAACAGGACCTGGAGGTCTTGGTGGACAAACTGAACACGCGCCCCTGCAGCAAAGAAGGTCAACAGCGTCCTGGGCTGCTTTAGGAAAAGTGTTGTCACTGGAACAGGTTGCACAGAGAAGTTGTAGAGTCTCCACCCTTGGAGATACTCAAAAACCAACTGGACTAGAGCAACCTGCTACAATTGATCCTGCTCTGAGCAGGGGTATTGTACTACACAGTTTTCAGAGGTCCCTTCCATCTTTCAACCGTTCTGTGACTACATGATTTTGTTACTACAACTTAAAGTAATTTCTAAGGTAACAAGTGCCAGAAAAAGCATGTATTGCTGGTATAGCTCTATCAGCAGTAGAGAATTATCATCAAAAATGGCAACTCCAACTAAAAAGTGCTATACTACCAAAAAAGTCTACTGCTAGGCTGACCTTCTGCAACCTGGAGGCACAGCAAATGCTGCAGGAATCTAGCAGAGACAGCCTGGGTTGAAGGAAAAGAGAAATAAGGAAAGAAAAGAAGCATTAGGCCAGCTCCATGGAGATGGAAGCAAGTCCCATCACAGACATATCTGTTTCTGCAGTCTTATCTTCAGGCATTTGTACTGGACTACACGCAAGAGATTTCTAAACTCTGCCTTATATATGGCACGATAGCAAAATGTTCTGGGGCACCAAAACCAGAAGGATATGTTTACTGCAACCCAATACTATAGACCTCAAGTGGCTTTTTGGTTTTTTTTTTTTAAAGGTTCTTTCTGCGGAATGCAAAGATTTTACTGTGAAATCAAGCAGGCAGGAATCTCAACTCCCTGCTTAGGTCCTGCGCAATCTGAATTTCAACAGCTGAAAGAAGATGAACTCAAAAAGCAACATACCTTGTCTGGACCGTATATCTCATTTCCATCTTCTGCCCTTGCATTAAGATCTGGGGCAGAGTGCAGGAGGTATTGTGTTATCTGGACTCCTTCCTCCCCAGGAATTGAGGCAGCTATGTGGAGAGGAGTTAACCCCCGTAACTGAAAACACAAACATAGCATTAAGACTCCTGTTTATCACAAGCAGCACTTAAACAGCACTAAATATTTTTTCAAAGAATAATCCAAGCTCACTCTTCCCACATGCTGTGTCTCACAAAGAGCCACCATAAACCTAGAGCCTCGAGTTACAGGACTGTGGAACACTAAAGGTCCCAGACACTAAACCTACTAAATATCACAACAGCTATGAGCAACTTGAGGAGCAGCTTCACAAGTATTCCCCAGCCACGCACAAGCTTGGCCACCAGGAAATATAATGAGAAAAAAAATACTTGGAGAGTAAGGAGCTTTGAGTTCTTTCTATTAAAAAAAAATATCCGTGAACAGGATAATCGCTTTAAACAGCTTTCTGGCACTCTAAAGCTGATTCTGACATGCAGGATACTTTACAGTAGGGCACTGAAGCTGCAATACACATCTAGAATCCCACATTATGAATTATAATCCAGTAAAACCTTGGATGGAAGCCGCACATCAGTCCTGGCTCCCCTTTCTAAGAGGAGTTTCACTGCTTCTGCATCTGTGGCTTTAACAGCAAAGAAGAGAAGGTGTGGTAGGACCCAGGATGCATTGGGATCTGCACCTCGACGAAGCAGCAGTTGGATTGTTTCCCATCTCTTCTGTCGTCTAGAATTGACATGGAAAATACCACAATAATGTATTCGCATCGTCCAAGAAAACTCTAAAAGCTAATGGGCTAAAATGACTCCCAGGTAACAGGCATGAAAACTGTCACTTAGCAGAGGGAAGACATGGCAGTCCTCAGGGCCGCATCACAACATCACCACCCAGGCAACAGCACTATGACCTGAAGAGGGGACAGCACTGCCAGTGTCTCTCAGCCCTCCAAACTAAAGGAGTAGCATGCAAAAGCACTCTCTGTGGTCATGAAAAGCCCTCACGTGGGAACAGACAGCCAAAGCTAGGCAAGGTTCTCTGCATCTCCACCAGTCACTCGTGTGACTTGTAAACATTTAGTCTTAGACTTGTTTAATGAAAGAAACAGACTCCTCCTTCCTGCCATCGAAGACTCCTTGGAAAGTTCTTTCTTCAATCATACCTCATTCATCCATCCCAAGAGAACAAAGATACAGTGTTTCCCTTAAACAAAAGCTGGAACAGGAGCTATGATAGACTAGGACAGCATATTCCAGGTGCCATCTGCATTTCCATGGAGGCAAACTATCCACACGCACACCCCACAAAAAACTGACACCACCAAAAAAACAAATAAAAGGGCAATCAGCACTTGGAAATCACCCAGAAACGCCATCACAAAGTGTTCTCAGTGGAGACTCATCTTTTCAGGCATGGTATTAACTCAGCTTTACCCACAAGGCCTACATTCAATGGACCTTCACAGTCCAATAAACAACACGCAATATGCACAAGATTTCAGACAACAAGAACCATGGGAAGTGGGAGGATGTGCCACAGAAGTAAAATGTAAGGGATGAAGGCCAGAAGGCCAACCAGGAATTTACAGTTTGGGAGTTTCAAGATATCAAAATAACCTACACTGCCATAAAACCCAACACAAAAACTTCATCATCTTTGGTGACTGCTCTGTGACCAAACCAAAAAGCAAATCGTGGCCCTTTCAAAGATCCACAAAGGCAAAATAGTTGGACTACCTTTCAGTTGACACTGCTGAACACACTCTTGCAGAAAACAACTAGCAAGTTCATATGTAGTCAAGACTTGAAGAAATAAAGCGAATATATTCTCCTTCCTCACATCTACACTATGCTGCAAGTGTCCATTGCATACTTAGCGGCTTTTCATGCTCCGCTAAGAAGCCTTGTCTTGTTCAAGCATGATGTCCTTTGCTTGAACCACACTTTTCCATTGCAACCTTTGCCCACTGCTGACATGAGTTACATTAGAGTGCATAAACAATGAGCGGCTTCTGCTGGCATGGAAACAAGATCTGCCCAGTTAAACAAACAAAAATTATCCTTCCCTGCAATGGATGCACACTTCCATGAAACAGGTGAAATATCATTACCTTCTTTATACAAAAGGGTTTATGAGTGTTGGTCTCCCAGTGCATGAGACTTACTCTGAGATTATGCCTTCAGCCACACTGACTGTTTCTGAGGATTCTGATTGTTCGTTCCACTTCAAGATTTAAAAAAAGAAAGAGATTACAAAAATGACAAAAAATCTTCTTCCAATGCATGACTCAGCATATTAACACATCAGAACAGTAACACAGTACAGCATATAATGATAACAGAATTTTGTTAACAACTGTTAGGGAAATTATTTAGAAGTAATTTGTAACTAAGGTTTGTTTTTTTTTTAAAATCTCTTAAAATAACAGAATACTTTTCTTGTTATCTTGTTATACAAGAATACAGCAACTTCTATGGTGTCTAAAACATGTTTAGAAGAGTTAAAAGTTTCTTCCGGTATACATCACCTAGCTTAAAAGAAAAAAAATTGCTGAAATAAAACAAGACACTTACAGATTTTCAACCTGCATTAGCTTGCATGAGAATCTGGAACTAGGATCTACAAGGCTGATGTTTCCAAATCTGGATGCATATTCAACCCAGAGGAACAGGGAAAGCAACGTACCTTTACCTTGCGGAATCTCAGAGACTGCGACAGACACAAACCAACACAGAAAGATCCCCTCTCTATTCCTAATTACCACATATTACCTCCAAAATGAGAGGGAATAGCTCTACATTGATTTTCTGTGTAGTTTTGAGCAGCTGCTCTCTCTCGCTCCCCTTCTTCCTTTCCCATAAAAATCTTGCAACTTTAGCAATGGGCCACCACTTGAACACACTCTTGGAACTGGAACAGCGCCTTCAGAGCAACCAAGTACTTAATTTCTAACAAGTTTCCTCAAGGCATGGGCCACGACCTCTCTAGACTCATGTGAAAGTCTCAGCAGCGCCCTTCCATTTCTAGACTCCTCTGAAACATTCCAAAGACCACACAGTTCCTGCCCAGATCCCTTTTTTATCTGTTTTCTAATCCTGGCTGGTGTTTCCTGACATCCTTGCTTTCATTTTCTTTCCCATTCCCAGGTATGCACTCTTACAAAATGTCTATCGTGTTACTACGTAGGAAGTCCAGAGCCGGTGTTTCTCTTTGCGGCAGGAGGAAGGCTAGGGATATGACCCTTCCGTTGTGAGCACTCCCCAAGGATCGGCAGACTTCTGACAGCACAATTGCTTTTTACTAGCCACCTCCACGATGCCAGCAGGATGACGTAGTACCAGGAGAATCACCTACATCCCATTGTTCTCCTTACACTTTTGTAATTCCCATCAACTGCCCCATCTCCACTGTGTTAAACACCTAGCCAACACGGCCTCACAGCTCTGCTGTCGATAGAGCGCCTTCTTTCAATTGCAGAGTAAGCTTGTAACTGCACTGGAGCTTGGTCCTTCCAGTTGGGAGTTAGCAGTGAGAGCAGAGATTATTCTACATCCACAGAGTGCAAAATGCATAACAGTTCTAACTTTTTCCTAGGGAGTATACACAGTAAATTTAAAAAGCAAGCTTACAGCTTGAGGAAATAATACATTATGATTCTGTCATTTTAGATTGGAAGTAAACCAACCTTGTAACTGCGCAAGCTCCTCTCAGCAATATTACCCTTAAAAGATTCTTCTGGATAAAAGAGAATAAAGCACATGGAGAGAGCAGATAATCCTTCATCACTACACTTATTCACATCAGCTCCACTATCAAGAAGAAGATTGACAACATCATTGTGGGAATGGACCTGTAGAGGGGAAACATCCACACTTGCACATATCTGTAAACACTTCTAGCTTTTGACATGGAAAGAACTAACAACACAGTTTTAAAGTAGTGATGCTCTACACTGTTTAGGTAATTCAAATTTATATTTCCCACAAAACAGAAACACAATACTGAACCATGTCTTACAGGGTTCAGAACATGCATTTTTCAGCTCATTTTTAACTACTGGATTTCACAGGAATTCAGTGAGGATTCATGCACAGGAAGAGACTACAAGCGACTGAGATGGCTACAGGAGAAATATAGTGTTCTGAATTATTATCTAGATTTTGTTAGCCATTTACAATGAATGCCAAGTATTGAGGTAGCTGAAAAGGGCAGCAGGATTTCCCCCCCCTCCTACAGAAACTGAAGCTGTGCACGCATGGTTTCTAGCTGCCACCACTTCTCAGCAAAAACAAAACAACTCTGTCTGAATCCCACTTCAACTAGGAGAAAAAATAACAAGGGCACAGCCATATCCAAGAACATAGATCTATACTGCATAATCATAACCTGAAATCAAACCTGACATTTGAAGTCATCTCTAACACTTACTGAAGGGCTTCTTTTAGGTTATTTGTTTACTGTGGGGTTTGGCATGATACCAGTCATTACAGACACGACTCATGCCACACCGCTTTTCTGTTCTTCCTGTTTACTGAACATTCCTTTCACACTACGGAATGAAACAAGAGAAAAATTTAATCCAGCCTACTATACCAGGAATTTTCTCATCATGTGGTAAAGAGTCATGCTTAGAGTCTTACAGCAGCAGCAGCAAGTGCCGTGTATCCATGTTTGTCAGCTATGTCTGGATGAGCAAGCCCATTCCTCAGAATCGTGTAGACCCCATCACAGTCTCCTCTCGCTGCCTTCTGAATCAGCTGCTCGGAGGCAAGTTCCCTGGGGCCTGGAGGCCCAAAAGTACTGCGGGCTCCACTGAGAATGAGGTTGATGTCTGAAGTGAACTCCCCTTGACAGCACCTAGAAAAGGAGAAAAAAGTACGGCACATTTAAGCAGCTAGGTACTCTTAGACCACTATGGCAATTAAAGAAAAAACACATCAAGAATAAAATACGTTGGTGAGCAAGACGGGAAAATAAGGCCGGCTATCATTTTAAGAACTATTTCAGGTAGTGTGAGCTTGCTTACATTAATGGCAGAAAGGCAAACCAGTGTATGGGGTACTGGCAGCAGCATATAGATTTTAGCTACAGAGGAGTTAAAAAATATCCAGCCACCAAACATCTACTAAAATAAGAAACCAAAATCTAACTACCGCGTGTTTCTATGAACCAATTTATCATGCACACTCATGACATCTGTTTATGATTTGACTTCCGTCACCTGCTTTAGCTATGACTATAAAATACGCTTATGTAGCTTGTGTTCCTATCAAAAAAGCCAATCCGGAAATATTCCGCGGGCCCCAAGAGCATCTCCACTACAAGTACCGAGCTACATAAAAACTGACGTGCAGTTGGCAGTTCTACTAGCTGTAGACTTGCTGCAGCATGTTTTGTATAGCCTTGAAGGAGAACAAGAGTCCAGACAACCCCAAAAAGGTATCACTGGCCAGATGTTCAGTGCTTTTGAAAATCTGGCACTATGCTTCTCCCTATTTCTACCTCTACGCAAGACACTACACGCTCAGAACAGGGAAGGTCTGAACAGGTCTCTACACCGCTGGCCTCCCAGTTCCTTTCAAAACTGGACTTCCAGAAACTCTGACATGCTTATGAGCAATGAGACCATTTTTATAGGTGTAACCAGGATAAAACAGACATTTAACTTAAAGGAATAAAATTTGTGAATTGAGAGATGAATATGTTGTTTGTTTCTTTTTTTAAAAAAATCTTTATTGGCAACTTCTAATCTCAAGGCCATTAAAAAAAATCTGGAGTGCAGCTTTTACCCTGCAACATGAATTTGAAAATAATGAACACCCATGGATAATAATTTCTAAAAATCCATACATAATAAACAAATCATCAACGGTTACCTGTGCTTATAGACATGCGTCTGCATTCTGACCAGTAGAGGGGTGACATTTGCAACAGGCCAAGGGTCTTCCTCAGGCAGCTTTGGGGTGTTCTGAAAATACCAAGCATCACACTCTTCCAGGAAGGAGCGAGTCAAAGTAAGATGATCTGTGTTACGAGAATATGCAAAGACTCCTTCAGGGAAAATATCCTTATCATCAAAAGGGAGATGCTTATAGCTACGGAGAAATGGGTCTTCCTCAACTGAAATATACTTCTTTTGAGAATTGTCATCAATGTATCTGCAGTGTGCTGGATAATCCACGAGAGAAAAATAACCAGGTACTTCAGTACACAGCTTAATTAGATGATCCCTGAGCCACAAGCCAACGTCCCGACAGCCATCTGGATAGCTCGCAATCCCTGGTCCAAATCGCTCATCAGATTTGTACAGCCCCTTAAGAAACAAGTAAACTCATTAGTGTCAGTTAGAGATCAAACAAGTTGTACAATTAAAGTCTGGTTTCTATTTTTTATTTTATTTTATTTTATTTTATTTCTAATCTGGCTGGTTCTGGCCTTACTGGTCCACCTCCTATTGACAGAGGAATAACTGCTGAGGCCAATCTGAACAGCAAAGCCTTCACGTTCACTTTGGTCCATTTAACAGCAAACAAACCTTCCAGCACGAGAACAGTGGAAGGCCCTAAATTTAACTACAGTGGGATGTAATGTTTAGGTGAAACTTCCTGATGGTTTTAGGGCCTGAGCAAGATTTTCTTTTCATTTTATTCCAATTTTATAGACCAACTTTAGATTCATTAGCCATGCTGCTACCTTTCAGGCCAGGCCAGATTTTTGGTTAGATTTTCCTACTTAATCAAAGCTAACATGTCTGACACACATCTGCACAGACACAGAAACTGTGAATGAGAGTTATTTCTTTTCTTACAATGGTAACTAAATGAAGGATATCTACAGCCTTGCAAGCATGACAAGACATGCCAACAGAAGAGTCTCAGTAGCAAATAAAGCTCTATAGGACAGTCCTCCTATAAGGGTATCCTAGTTGGCCATGACACTATGGTAGGTAAGGCATTACCAAATTTCAGCAGACTCATGCATATCTGGATCACACATGGTTGAAGACAGGTTCACACTAAGCTATCACAACCTCAAAACAGCTATTTAAAGCAAAAATTAGCAACTTCACATTGAGCTGTTTAGCTACAAAGATAAAGGCACAGGAGAAAAGCGCTACCACTGGCAAGAATAAAATTCTGAGTATGGTTATGATCTGAAGCGTCTCTATTTTTCCCCTAACTTTAGATCATACATCACATACTCAAATTAAAGCTCTCCTAAATCCATGATTAGTGCCACATTATCAATATTCAGCAAGAATACTATGTTCTTGTTGACCACCTCCTCAATGCAAAGACTGTTATGTTGTTTCTCTGGATGTTTTAGATTATTTGATGAATTGCTGAGATACCCAGGGATCAGTAGGAACGGGTGGGCAGTGTTCCCCTACGCCTGGGACTTTTCAGATACACCTTCTAAGAAAACAAAGAAGGACTGCAAGCTCTTAGAAAACAAGATTTCCAGCTTCCACCAGCAACATCAGGTCTGAAAATGACGCAAAACAGACAACTAGCTAACTGGACACATCAGATTGCTGTCTATCATCTCCACAGTTTCTTAAAATGCAGTATTTTTCCAGTTTCATATTGGTGGCATCCTAATATGCCTTTTGAGAGTACTGTCTAACTAATAAGCTCTTCATCAAAGAAGGAGAATAAATACTGAGATCTTATACGTTAGATACTAGAATAAGAAACTGTTCCGGGCATCAGATTTTCAGTTCTGGGCAGATGGTATCACATCACAGGGCTGGAAGGAGGATCTGGGGAACTACAGGCCTGTCAGTCTGACCTCGGTGCTGGGAAAGGTTATGGAGCAGATCATCCTGAGTGCCATCACACAGCACATATGGGACAACCAGGGGATCAGGCCCAGTCAGCATGGGTTTATGAAAGGCAGGTCCTGCTTGACTGAC